CAGCGATTTGTCGGTGGCATCACTGGGATCCAAGGATGAAAAGTTGGTGAGGGTTGCAAAGCAATTGCAGGCTTTGAAAGTAGCTCTGGAGACTACCAATCCCATGAAACCTCATGAAAATCCATTGCCAAAAGGTGATGTGGGCAAGGCCGATCGATCTCATGTGAGTGTCATTCCAACCCCGCAACAGAAGCCAATGTCGAAACTACCAGCTGGGGAAAAGGTTTCAGACATCGTTCGCTTGTTGAAGAGCAAACCCACTGCAGCTGATTCGAACAGTGGAGATCCAGAACAGACTTCCAGGGATGTTTGGAAAACCCACGAATCGGAACAGGAGAACAAGTATGTACTGCCTTCTTATGTTTCTTGGATTATATATTTGTACACTGGTATAATGCAAGTTTTGATCGATCCACCAGCTAAAGAAAAACATAGCCTATGGTTATGTCATGTCTTCTCTGTTTGGGGTACCAAATCTTACATACAACATATTTGGGGAACCAAATCTTGCTTAGCATCCGTTCATTTATGATTCATGATCTTGGTATATCGAATTAAGTATATGAGTTCATCATGCCCAGGTTTTGGACTCTTTGGACAAGGTGAAGGGCAACTCTGCGCAACCATTCCCACTTCATGCGAAGTATGTCCCGGCGATCTTGGCTGCGAAAGCTGTGGATGGAAATTGTGAAAAGGATGACGACGATGGCGATGACAAAAAACCAACTAAGTCCAAACCCAAACCACGGAAAAAAAAGGCTTCTAAGTCATCGAAGCCTCATGGGGAATCCGATTGGCAATATGGTAAAATTCGAACTTTGTTCATACAGACCAAGAAAAAATCTGGGCTCCCCTACAAAAAGGCAGCCGAACTCTGGGATGAGAGCGATGAGAAAACCCAGCTCCTGTCGTTGGTTTCCCTAGGTGAACTGAAAAAACGGAGGTTTTTGGAGCGTGGTGCTACGGAAAACCCGTGGCTTAAAAAGCTGAAAGGCTCAGCCTGAATGGGCTAGGTAGCCATATTTCGTGTATGCCAATTTGAGATCACCTTGGCAAGGGGGATGCCGGCGCGATAGTGTGAAAAAAAAAACATTGGCCACTGTTTATACTCACCTCCATATCAACTGGTAGATGTAGTTACAGGATTTCTGGGTTTTCTTCAAGTATGACTTCACCATATTTCACCAACATTGGAGCTAGAAGCTGTGATTGAAATCAGTACTACATAGAACATTTTGGCTCAGAAACATCTAGTCTCTTTTTTTGGTTTTCACGTTACGTGTGGGTGATCCAATGGTTGTGAAAGACCTTCTGTCTTTCCGGGCTCCTCCAATCCTCATTTTGGTGTGCCTGCTAACGATCTGGAACACGAAGCTTCACCATGAGCCGGTTCTTTGGTGGCATGGTCAACTAAGGGTCTAACAGAATTGAAGGATCTCATTTCTTCATGTGTTCAAATACTCTACAGTTGTGAATCAAGAATGATGGTTCACCCCAAACTTCTCACCCGCACTAAGGTTAGAGACTTTTGTGAGGTGTTCTCCGGCAAAGGTGAGATTACTCGAGCACTCCGGGCTGAGACTCGATCGAACTGGATTCCAGTAGTCGTGTTACTGGTCAAGAATATCTATAATATAGATATGGCTTATGTTTTGTGTGGAACCTATATAAGTATATATAATATATATATATATGTTATAAACAGACTATACCCGGTTCTTCCCATCAGTAGCTGGCCTGCGTGGTGCCTGCACCCAGTGATGAGGCCAACCTTAAGGGCTGTGCCATAGACATCGACGACAACCCCCGGGCTTTCGACTTAACGACCCCAAGCGGGTTCGCGCCCCTTGGCTTATTGAATTACCTGTGGATCAATCAAAAATAATGGGTGTCCACATGGGTGTTCACAGAACCAGAACAGTTGATATGATTGTGAAAGTGAATTCTTTATGGACATGACCCTGAATTCATAGTTACTTTTCGCAGTCCCCCAAACCCTGGATCGACATGTGCCGGCTAGGCTGACCCTGAACGAAGTCTTACGATGCAAACCCGGGAGTCTTCTGGTCTTAGCTCCGGTGTGCACTTCAATGTCTGCTATGTGGTTTGGCCTAACATTGCATCACATCTTTTTGTTTTTCCCACCAAAAAATAATTCTCCCAAGAATTGAACCGAAATGTCCACTATTGTTGTTCAGTTGTGAGTTTACTGTTAGGCCAACAACTTTTATCTACTATCCATCTATCGTTTCCCGGAACATTATTTCCGTATCAGCACAACGTTTTGGTGACAGCGGGTGTGAAACTGAACCCTTTTGTTCTTGGTACACTTAAATGTCTGCAGGAGCCGGCACACTTCGGGGAGATCCTATTTGAAGCCCTATGGCAACACCAACTACGAGTTTGTGGAGCTAGGCAACACGTTGGCTTGCAGGTGCATTCTCCTGATCCTGGTGGCGCACTGGCGTGGACTACGTTGGTTGCTGGAGCAGCCGGATGGCTCATTTTTGCAGTACTTGCCAAGGTTCCAATGGTTACTTCAAGTGATCAAGGCCAGTATGATGCTCATTGCTATGGGAACTACTATACCGTCATATTCTGTACACGGGTATGATATAAATGATATAATTAAATATCTATGTCTATATGCAGTATTGTGTGAATTAGTGCACATTTTCTCGTGGAAAAAATGCCATGGTCAATCCTATCAGAATTTCCCAGGGATAAAGTAACAACTCTGTGGGTGCACATTAATCCGTGCAAAATTGATTTGTATAAATATGTATTGATACTCAGCCTCCTCCATCAGACAACCATCCAATCTTAATGACCCGTAGCAGTATATATTTTCCTTGCAGGTCTATGTGGCCTACTTTTACATGGGAAAGTTCAATGGCGAAACGCCAAAGCGCCACCGTGTGTGGAGCAATGACCACATGTTCTTGTCCGAGATTGTCAACCGGGCTGGATACATGAGCAGGCAAGAACAGCAGGCTTGCCATGTGAAAACAGCCCGTAAGTACATCGACAAGAAAGGCGTTTCAAGATGCGTGGGCATCAAGGATGTCTTGAAGAAGAGCCAGTAACTCGACCCACATTGTTTGGGGTGCATCGTTCCCCTGGTTTCAACTTATCCTCTTTATTCGATAGTTAGATACCCTGCATGACCCTATGTTTGAAAGACACTTCAATCTGATTTAATGTTTGGGCTTGGTGTGATGCGACATATACTGAGTTGCAGTAGAGCCCCATGCCATGCGCTTAAGTAACACGATCATTTCCAATAGGTGTTGATTTCATGAGCTGGCTTCGATCCATGAAATCAAGAGCCCCATACTTTCCGATGAAACAAAGTTATATAAAAAGCATGAACCGTATATATCTGGATCTTATAAATATGCTTGTAAACGGAGCTACTTCCCGGATCAACCAGGGGGCGCCTTGGCATAGACAGATCATAGAATTGCATCCTCGGCGTACCTGAGGCATTACACCCGCGAATTTGGGGAGTTCATTGCTGAGAAGGTACAAGCTCACATTAATGTGCCCCGTCAAACAAGGGGGAACGGTATATGGGATAATCCTATTCATCTTCGATTCCATGTGTATGTCTCCAATACGAAATATTTTTGAATTTATTTCTCACAACAAGTAAGGAACCAATGGGTGTGCACATATGCATGCATACATACATACATACATACATACATGCATACATGTATAGTTTGACTTTATTTAGTGTTTCTTTATAGCGGTTGCAGAGGTGTGAATCATTGTTGGGCTGGATGGTTCCCTATTTGGATTCAAGATTTCTTCAGAATTTCACGGGATAGCTGCCAGCCACTTCCCCCGTATGTACAAACAGAGAAACTAAAAATGTGAAAATAACAATCACCAGAACTCCCCGGCAAGCAGGGGTTGCAATTGTGCAACTAACAAGGGTAATAAAGATGTTGATATGATGTGAGGTGCCTCTCCCAGAAGCCCCTCTTCAAGATCTTCCAAATGACCTTTCTGATTTGGAGCTCTTCAAGAAATACTGCTTACCGCTTCACAAGACTGACCGGTGGGATGAGGCGAGCCCAACAAAAAGTGTCCTTAAGATGGGGATACCTTCAAAGGTCTTCAGATTGATTTGTATCATGGGTATTTCGATTTGAGTACACTGATCCAATGAATTCACATCATTATTTGGGGGTTTCGTGTTGTCCACATCCAACATCAAACCCTTCGGCCCATCTTGGCGGTTCAGGCCAAGATGACAGAAGTCCTGGCATACTTGGGCTCCTGCAAGCACGTCAACGTGCCAGGGAACTGGGTACCCTGGCTTTATATATACTTAGTCGGTCTTCATGACATGCATCAAGCATCATCCATTTATCTATCTGACTAGTTGCACTTAACCTGGGATCTTTTAATATTCGAAACCCATACATAAATACAGTGGGGAAAAATCTTAATACTGGGGCCCTCATCTAAGGAACAAGTTCTCGTGGACCTCGGTTTGCATTAGATGACCGAATCTTTAACGACCTATGCCAGGTCGGCCAAATTCAGAGGGCACAACGCCATTTCACGGCAAATCTGATGATTTCTCATCAGGATATCGAAAAAGAGCAGCTGGTTTTTGCCGTATGTGAAAATCTCATGAAACAACAAAGGTAGCAAATTGGTTCAGGAGACATGAAAAAATAAACCGTGAAAAAGCGTGCATTTGGCCGTGAAAAACCGTTGATTGGCCATGAAAAACGTGAAATTCACACTTTGATTTTTGATCATTTTTTGGCATCTTTTGGAAGTTTTTTCATGTTTTGTTCAGATGTTGATCTCCCGAGTTTGAATTTCACAATATTTCACACATGTTTGAACCCTCTGAATTTCACAATGAATTTCCACTCGGCGTTTCGTGATTTCATTGCCTCTGAACCTATACCTTTGGTTTTCAGCTGCCTGATAGCTGTTAACGTTTGAAATCCCCTCGCCTGAACCTGTGCGTGTCCATGGGGAAGAGGGGTGCCAGTGGTGATGCCCAGAAGCTGAAAGCTTTGCAGCTAGCTCTTCGAAAGAAGATGGAAGCTGAAGCAGCGACTGTTACCAGTCCTGCTGGTGTCGGGGCTGCTGCTTCTACGGAGGCAACCGAAGTCGAGATGCCACCTCCAAAGGTACCTCGAAAAGACAAAAAGCAAAAGAAGGAAAAGAAGGAGAAGAAGGAACAGTCAGGTTCGAAAGAGCCAGCGATTGAAAAGAAGGATGAGCCAGAGCTCACTGAGAAGGATCTCGAAGCTGCTGTGGAAGCGGCCATGGACGCTGCCGTTGCAGCTGGTGATGTTGCTGCTACTGAGGAGCCGAAGAAACTCAAGAGGCTTCGACATGTTGAGTGTGAGCCGGAAGCTCGCCCAAAGGCTAAGGCGAAGGCCATGGCCAAGGAGAAGAAACCGGATCCTCAAGAGCCACCCTTTGACACTACCTGGGAGAACCACAGCCTTTTGATGAAACACTTTCAGATCAGTGAGGACGAGGCCACTTCTTGCCTTCTTCAGGTGATCGGCCCGGATGACAGGTACAAGAAATTCTGGGGGAAGTTCAGCGTCGATTCCAAGGATTCCAAGGACAAGGGCAAAGAGACTTCAGAGCCTACGGCCAAGACCAAGGACGCTGTTGCCGCTCAATCTGATGATGATGATGGGACGGAGTTCTATGGAGGGGGTCCAATGACCGACAATGGTGATGATGATGATGATGTCGACGGGGACACAGCTTCGACTTCTTCGGGTGGCACACCACCTCGCCCACCACCACCTCCAGCTGCAGCTCCAGTTGAGACTGTCAGCTCCGAGCCAGTGATTGACCAGATGGAGACTCAGCCCATGGAAGTTCCTGAGCCTGTCATCCAACACATTCCTTCGAAGCCGGATGATGCTGAAGTCGCACGACGTGACTTTGCCGAGAAGGTGAAATCTGCACCCACGCCGGCCAAAGCTTTGGAGAAACAGGCACTGGTGTGAGAGCACTTTTTGTGATAGGTCCGTAACACGGAAGTGTTTCATCTAAACTGAAACCACGGGAACTTTTGTTTTTGGGATGTGTACATAACAGGGAAGTTTCCTTCATGAGTTCTATAAGTTCAATGACACTTTGAGGAAATATTGACAAGAGTTTGAAAATCGTGTTTATGTCCTAATGATTTTTTGAATACATTAATTGACTCTCCCTTATATATTTTGTGTAGTGAGAATCTTCAAGAAATACATGTGGGGATGGTACTTCTATTTTCCACTGCTCACATTTCATGAGCCCTGACTAGGCTGACTGCCCTAGCAAGGTCCCGGTGAACTGTGGGCTTCCACGGCGATTGCTGTCGCTTGTTTCGAAAGGAAAGAGTTAAACTTTTGATGACCAAAACCTCACAAAAGTTGGTATACGTGATATGTGGTTGTCCCTTTCTAAAACAAACATGTCATATATATATATATATAAGTATATATAATATCGAACTGTCAGGTCTTGCACAACACTGTCGCTGGGCCAGCACGATCTCTCCCGTCAAGCTTCCGTCATGAATCACGATGCTGAGAAAGCTGAGACACTTTCCACGTGTCCTGACTAACATGTTTACGTTTTTCTCCTGATGTTTAAACATGTTTAAACTAGTTTTTGAAGTTTTGTTTTTGTATTTTTTCTTGGATTTTTTTTGTTTCACAGGTTGGGCCCTTCAGCTTCGCAGACAGCGGGCGATGATGACAAAGTCGCCGAGATTGTGAAAGCATTGAGCTTGCTTTCTGTGACGATGAAGCAACCGTGGTGCAGGGATTTGATGACTGAGCTTGGCTTCTGCCTCCCTGGACAAGTGCCCGAAGATCAAGAGTTGAATGATGCCAAGGATGGCAGACCTTCTGGATCGAGACCTTCTGGATCCACACCTGTCTCTCCTGCACATGTACCTGCACCCAAGCCTGCGCCTAAGGCCACGCCCACTCCGCCCACACCGCCTGAAGAGACACCTTCGGCCACACCTCCTGCAGCCACATCCCCTGAAGTTCCGGAGCCAACGACTGGAGCTGAGAAGCCTGAAGATCCTGGAGCTAGGGCTGTTGTCATCAACAGCTCTACTCACAGAGCAGCCCATGCTCGCTTGCAGAGAAGGATGCACTCTCTTGGTGAAGCTGAATGCCCAAACATGGCGAAGCTTTGGGCTGGCAGCAGAAAGGACTTTCGATGTTTTTGGTTTGAAAAATATGTTAAAACAGATTTCCATTCAGGGTGATTCACACACTTTTTCATGATTTCCACTTCCAGGACAAGCAAGAGCTTCTGGCGAAGTGGGTTCAAATGGAGAAAACCTGGCTGCGGTGGAGTGTGCTTTGCAGCTGCAGCGTAAGCAGGAGGGAGAGTTGGAACATGGCCGAGAGTTGCTCACTGTGAGTGAGATGAAAGCCAAAGGATTCAGTACGAGCATTGGAACACATTCGGAAATGATCAGGTTTTTTTCTTTCCCCAATGTGTGCCGTACCTTGTTGTTGAAACAATGTTTTTGTTTTTGGGGGATTTAGTCAATGTTTTTTAACGTCATCATGTTCACAAATTTTCGATTCAGGGCGAAGATCGAAGCGATCGTCAAGAAACCTGGTCATCCTGACCCAGACGCCCCTCATGATGTTGCCAGCACTCGCTGGTGGTGCAATGTTGGAGGGAAATACACAGGGCGCGAAGTTGCATCTGTGACCATGAGGGCATCCACCACTGTGGCGGCCACTGCGGATGCTCTCACTTCTATGTTGGGTGGATCAGAAGGCTGTGCATCTGGAAGTGAGATGCTGTCCTTGACCAATGGGAATAGTGGCTCGGAAGCCACCTCGGGTGCAACACCTGTGCCATCGATGGAGGCATTGGTGGGATTGATTTCCGCCAAGGCCAAAGCGAAGTCGAAGGCCAAAGCTAAGGCCAAGGCGAAAGCCAATCCCAGCCATGCAGCTGCAACGACGCCAGCAGAAGCCCGAGAGCAATTTCGCACTTGGGCAATTTAGATTTCACTGTCTTTTTTGTTTAGGGGTTTACAAAATGAATCTCGAAATTTCATGTTTCAAAGACATGAAGACCAAAAGCATTTTTTGAAATAGGAAACACAACCCAATGACAGTTTTTTGTGAGGCAAGGACATCAAGAAGGAGCACGCTTCGTGCACCAACGTTGCCATGGACCTTCCACCAGGACATGCGCTGAGGACTGATCTTGCGAACGCAAAGGCCAAGCTGGAAGAGATGCTGGAAGAGTTTCTTTTCAGCATCAAATCAAACACCTTAAGGTTTGAAAATCATAAACGAACTTCTTTGTACCATATATATGAATACATATTTACATAATATATATATATATTATGTGTATATATATATACATATACAAATATATATATATACATTTACATAAACATATATATTTACACACATATATATATACATGTATATGTATACATTAAAAAATATACATATATATATATGTATACATATATATATATATAGCCCCTGTGAATTATAAACACCAAAACCTATAACTACATTTTAGGTTTGGAGCTTGCTACATCCATCAGCCAAATCCAAGGCTGCGTACCATGCCCGATGAGGAGATCGCAGACTATGCCGAGACTTGTGCCCAGAAGGTAGGAGACCCATCGTAAACCCCGATATCGATATGTTGAAATCTTTAATGGTTCATTCCCATCAGTGTTTTTCCAAACGAACTATTCCCAAACAAAAAGTCATGTCATCGCTTCCCTGCTTCAGGTGCTGGATTCCCGCATGTTGCGGGTGCAGGCCTCTGCAGTGGCCAAAGAATTTCGAAAGGCTGAAGCGGCAGAGTAGATAGCCTCGATCACATGCGGCTGACAGGCTCCGATTTTGAGATACATGACCCTTCGTGACATCTGGGTCGCTCCCATTAGGTTGCCAGGGGAGACATTGTCAATAGGATATGGGTGAAATGAAAATAGGTATCCAATATCCATCAAAAAATATTCAAATATCATTCCATAAAATGTTCAATCTTTGTCTTGGAATACCCTATTAGTATTTCATAGTGTTTCAAGTCCTGCAGGCAATGTGCTGGCATTTTCTTGGATGATGAAAGATGGATGGCTGCTGATAGCCTACCATGCGATGGCGCAATTGGGATTCCAAAACCATAGACCATGGCTTCAACAGCCGTGAATGGTGATGTCGCTGGCCCGCTGGGAAGAAAAAAATCAGGTTCTTGGAGCTCCCATGGAAACGGAATCCACCACCCATATTGTATTCCCCTTGGATTGGTTGTGAATCTTCGCAACTTTGACCAATCGACCACTGAATTGACATGATTTCGAGAAAACAAACTGGGATACATCCATGCCCGCGCAGGTGAGCTATTTCCTCAAGCACAGTCGCTGCTGCGAGACCAGCTCGATGTAGCGTTTCTTGGTAAGGATCCTGATGGGAACAACAACCATCCAATCTTTGTATATTATATATATATATATTATCTGAGTGGCGTTGCGTTCGAAGGAATCTGTAAAACCATCAAATTGCTATACATGATGGATCGTTATTCACCCCGCTTCGCGTGGGGTGGCCGCCCACACCGCAGGTTTATTTCGGTCCGTGAGAGGGGCTAAGGGTGGTTTTCCCCCGTGGGGGCTCCCCAAGCTAAGAATTTTAACTTTCCCCCCGTGGGGGCTCCCCAAGCTAGGGAATTTTCACTTTTCCCCCCCGTGGGGGCTCCCCAAGCTAGGGAATTTTCACTTTTCCCCCCGTGGGGGCTCCCCAAGCTAGGGAATTTTCACTTTTCCCCCCCGTGGGGGCTCCCCAAGCTAGGGAATTTTCCCCCCGTGGGGGCTTCCCAAGCTAGGGAATTTTCACTTTTCCCCCCCGTGGGGGCTCCCCAAGCTAGGGAATTTTCACTTTTCCCCCCCGTGGGGGCTTCCCAAGCTAGGGAATTGACAGCTTCCCAAGCTATGGAATTTTCACTTTTCCCTCCCTTGGAGGCTCTCCAAGCTGCGGAATTTCAAATAGCTAGACAACGACGCCTAGATAGTCCCCCAAATCCCGTGTTCTTTGAATGTGTTTCCATGTTTTTGCAATGGTTTCCTTCAAAGCACGGTACTTTATTTACACTTTTGTCGCCATAAAACCGGTCGAAAACATCATGTTCGACAATGCTTCCAATTCCCTTATCTCCCCAACCGTTGAAAATACCGCTATTTACAGTGTTTTCTTCAATTTTTCCATGTTCCAATGCCGGTAGCCAACTCCAACATTAATATATATAAGAAATCCTTCCAAAACATTGTTTTTGACAGTGTTTTTCCAATGTTTCCAGTCAAACAGACGGTAATTTACACGTTTTTTGCCATAAAGGCAGTAAATCCTTCCAAAACATTGCTTTTGACAGTGTTTTTGTAATGTTTCCAGTCAAGCATACGGTAATTTACACGTTTTTTGCGATAACGTCAGTCCAAAACACTTGTTTTTGCAGTGTTTTCAATGCTCTGGCATCCAAAAACCCTGCAAAATCTTGCTATGTACAATGTTTTTTTTTCATTTTTGGCCGTTTTTCCATTGCCGGAAAGCTACCAAAATGACCCAAAATTCCATTTCAATACCCTCTTGCGCTCAGACACCCAAAAATCCTCGAAAAATGTCGAAAACACCACCATATTCTGGTCTCGGTGCGAAACCGTTTTTGGGCCCCCCCCCCCAGCTAAAGCTGATATAGCGACTGCTATATTAACAAATGTCATTGAGCATTTAGTGTTGCTGTTTTGCCCCCCAATAAGCACGCCTTCACCGCCAAAGCGGTGTGGGCGGATTTACAAGATAATCGGTGTAATACCACACACCACATATGATCCCTGTACGAGTTCACCGGGTTAGGTTGGGGCCTCTGAATTTCTAATAGAAAATGTAGATTGTATAAATTAGGGACCCACGAAAATCTAGCAACAGACATCAAACCAATTTGAAGTTTCCTAAAAAAATGGCAACGTACAATAAGTGCATTTTCGAAGCTATGTTTAGCATTTTCCTTAGAAAACACCGCCCTACTTGAATTACATAGTTTTGAAATTACGAAATCAAATATGTTAGAAACCACTTCAAGTTACTGCTCCCCTTTTCTAGAGCCCAACATCCAACCCATCGAATTTCCATCCCATTTCGACAAAAATTGGGTACTCCCGAATATGTCATGGTTTCGAACCTCGTTATCCCCATATTCGAGTTGCCATAAATTGGGTAATGATCACTGTTTTCAGACGCACCCAAATACATCCAAATATCTTATTGTTGGTTGTAATATGTTGTAATTCATGCATGTACTAGAAAACAAAATGACCTGCCAGTGCCTCGAGAAAATCAAGGACCACGAGAAAATCTATGCACGTATTCCCAGAGATGCTAAAATTATGCTTGTGGATTTGGGGCACCTAAACTACCCAGAGATCAGGATCTTACGACTCAGAGGTCTCCACAAATCGTTCTGTAGAAAATTGGGGTAACTTCGGAAGCATCATTTCAGCAAATTCGAGCTTTTCGAGTGACAGAAAATCAACCCTCCTTAGGGGGTTAGCCCCCCTGAAATCCTAGAGGAAATTCATACCGGTGTGACAAACCATCTAGATCGAGTTCAAGTGTTCCAACATGTTACAACTCAAATGTCATTTTAAACCTCGGCTTACCGCCCAGGATTGCTCGCAGCATCGGGGCTGGCTACACCACTGTGCGCCACGCCAGAGAGATTGCGGAGGTGTATGGTTCTGATTTGTTTTCGTGTCTTGACCATTTGATCCACCAACCCCAGGACGTGTTGAAGCTGATCTAAAATATCACCAAATATGATGGGTGAGTTAACCTTAAGATCAAGGGGGTGCCATCTCTTGCCCAACATCATCAAGATGCTATCTCTTGCCCAACATCATTACTTTTAAGGTCTACAGCCGAACGAGGTCTTCATGAACGTGCGTTGAAGGCTGGTCAATCACTACCATGTGAAGTATCTTTTCGCTCTATCCCTGTGAAAAAGAGTGTGGATGACAACGACCTGGAAATGGTTGACTGGCCGTTCCTTTTGCCTCACAATTTCGTGGCTTGGATAACATGGTACAAATCATGTTTGAGATAAGTACTCTTGGGTGTGTTTGAAGTTGTTATTACCCCGAAAGATCCCTTAATCCAGTCGCCCGGGTTGTGCTTTCCTAGGCCAAAGCGCTTGTGAGTGAGGGTCATCTCGATTGCCTGATCAACGATTTCACTGCTCTGACTGCTTATTGGCAAGGGATGGCTTCGGATTTCCCTAACCACCCTGTGGCAAGTGATAGGAGATGCTGGAACACATCGCTTGGGTGCACATTGTATTGCCACCCAATTGAATTAATATAGATTGTATTTTGTCGTTTTGGTTCTACAGCCAAGATTTTCTTCATCCAGAATGTAAGCAATCTTAGGTGACGAAATTGAGGTTCTCAATGACAGCTGGCTTTTCATCATGTGGACAAGCGACCATTGCCCCTATAGAACGAACAGTGTTTGCAGTCGGTGGCCCATAGCGGTGTTTCCCAAGTCTCTCTACTACATGAACCCCGATGGCATTAATCTAACTGTTCAAGCGGCCACAGCTGAAATCGTGGAGTCTTTTAACAAGCTGAGCACCGATGGCATCAAACTTCGCACATTTCCATCCATGGGAAATGAACTCGTACTTTGGAACGAATTCAGCAATGCTTTCAAAAAAGGTTTGTTATATTTACCCTCGACAAAAAAAGATATCAACCATTTTCACCAAATCAGGTAGGTCGACTCAAGCTATTCGTCATGGGATTTCGTGGAGATTGGAAAAGTTATGTCCAGGTGTTCAACTTGGTCAGGCATCCTGGTACAGATGAGGTTCGGTGAACAATGAGAAAAATGTTCAAACCCCGAAGTTTCCAATATGTTACAACTTTATTGGGAGTAACACGATCCCCTGAAGGTTTGCTACTTATGCAAAGCCACCAAAGGTGCCTCTGACATGAGCATGTGTTTCACTGACATTTCCCCTGGAGCTGCATGGATGGGGACATTTCTCCAAGAAAACCCTTGGGAGACAGTACCCCATTACACCCGACTGATCGGGTTCGACCTGCAAATGGTTGTACCGGACCTGCTGCATACTTTCAACCTCGGGATCGGACGAGACCTTGCTGGCTCCATACTCAAATCATTTTACAGGATGATCGGGTGTTTGCTGGGGACACTATCCAATCGAGATTTGAAAATGCAACAGAATCCTTGAGAAGATTCGCAAAGGCTGGAAAACATATTCTCAAGCTCAAGAAGCTATCCAAATCGAAAATATGTTGGGAAACAAAAAAGTATCCCGAGCTGAAGAGTAGTGGCTCAGACTGCCATATCGTATGCACATGGCTAGAAGATATTCTTCAACCGCACCAAAATGTTTATGGCGACTTCATGACACTACTTTGGACTTCCAATCGGTGCTTGAAGCTGCTATACAGCGCAGATTGGTTCTTGAAACTGGATGAAAAGCGCACTGTTGAAACCTTGAGTAGGATTTTCACATCAACCTACTTGATGCTTGCTCACAATTCTCTTCAAAACAACGAACTTCTTTGGAGAGTGCGACCCAAATTGCACATGTACTGGCACCTGAGCTTGTGGCGTAGACATGTGAACCCATCGAAGTACGCCTGTTGGATGGATGAGGACTGGCTTCGTAAGATTAGCAAGGTGATGCAGTTGACTTCAGTCAAAACTTCACAAAAAAGGGTGCTTCAGCGATGGTTGATGGCCGTGCCAATGAATTTGGCAAAAATCAGAAACAGCTTGAACTCGTG